ATCGATAACCCTTCGAAACGCATGTCAAAAGTCTGTATAATGTGAAACTAAATTAACATAAGACGACCGGATGTGACGTCGGTAAGATATGTCCCGGTCGATAGTGTTTGATTGACGTAACTTGTGATTTCATAATCGGTGCAGCGATGCGTATGACCGAATGACGAAAATCTTTTATTAGAGAAAGTACAATTTGTATCTGTCTGAATGCAAGATTGGAATATTGTAAAGGACCACCATTCTGAAGTCCGAAAAGGTGGGCAGAAATTTACCACTTTTAATAGTAGATTATCTCATTACACCTTCATTCTTACACTAATTAATTTAAAATTTACAATATTCTAACAAAATTATTTTACAATATTAAGATATAGTATATTAGCATTAACATAATTTTTTATTGTTTTAGTCCTGAATAAAAATGAAATTTTGTAATTAACCTTTGTATTTAAAAGCTAGATGAAGCATCAAGTTTCAAAAGGACGTTATCTCGGTTTAATTTGATCATATAAAATTAGGATCAACGACGCCCATAGATTCGATATGGGCGACAAAAAACAACAAAATCCTAGACGTATCGTGTAATTTGACAACAATGACGGTAATGATCGCAGTTTTTCGGTCCCAAAAGCACCAATGTCGATGAGTAAAAAACTCGTTAGCGTTATTATCCCTAATAAACGAGAGTATATGGCCAGAGACCATAATGGCATGGTCATTAGCGTAATGCTTGAGGATCGCCTTGGGGTGATGCGCCTTTGTGTCGCCAGGGTGCGTTCCTTGTACTATATTTACATATTTTTATTGTTGATAATTAGAACTCAATAAGGGAATAAAACTTAAAGACGTATTACTGACGCTTTCATACATACATTTCTTCTTTCAAAAATACTTATAAAAACAGAAGAAAGGGGTCAAGACAGCACTGGTCACGATTTTTTTGTGTGCCATAAAGATATAATGTTATTGCTGAAAAGTATCTTTATTTTTTACTAGCTGTTGCTCGTGATTTCGGCCGCGTGAAATTAACAAATATAGCCTATGTTACTCATAGATAACGTAGCTTTCCAACGGGGAAAGAATTTTTTAAATCGGTCCAATACTTTTTGAGTTATTTCAATACATACAAAGATACAAATCTATCCTCTTTGTAATATTAGTATAGATTATTCTGTTATCGCTACATTAATGCGGTAAAAATAGCAATCAACGAAGTTAAACTTCTAATTTTCCTACGTTTTATAGACCATCTTCTACATACAAAAGAAATAAGCAATGCTCATAATCTGTCGGCAACATCAAATATAGATATCACATTAAAAAAAAATCTGCAATCAACTTTTTCAAACAGCCACGTGCTGTGCGACGATCACCCTTTGTGATCAAACTCCACGGCTTATTTAAAATTAATAATGGAACAGAAAAGGCCACTTTCCCGATCACAGTTAGACATCGATGTCGATCTTTTGTTGAATGGAATCGATCTTGATATCGATTAGACACATCGATAATGGACGTAGTAACGAATGCGTTTGATTTTTTTTTTGTGGTAAAGGTCAGTAGGTACTTATGTCGTGATTATTGAGAACAAAACATCGGGTACGATTGTTTAATCGATTTTAAATATTTCTACAGTAAAAGTAGTAGATCAAGAGACTATTTTTGCAACTTTCAATTGTTTTTTATTCCAGAATATTTCTACCCTTTAACTGCCTTCCTTCACTGCCATCCTGATATAAAAACTTTATTTTATCGTTTACTTTTGTCAAATTTTCAATTGCAATTGTTAAAATTACCGTTACCATAAAACCTTGCTTCCTTAATGTTGGCAGCTTGTAGTACGGTCCCTTTCCCATATGAAGGTTTTTCTAATTCATTTAACCCTAAGTTTAATAGCGAGAAAATAAGCCTAAAGCGTGTCGTAAGTGTAGGGTTTATTGTCAAAGGAAAAAATGTTCAAAAATGTGCTGTGATTGCTGACATACTACGCCACGAAGTAGTGTGTCTACGCTTTATTATGTTAGTATAGATAATATTTTAATCATGACTAAAGCTGTTAAAGTCAATATGATTTTTAACATCCTGAGACAAGGAAATTACCTGATAGATCAGACTTTCTTAGTAAAGTTATCTTTAAACAGTATGTAAAAATCGATGAACAAACAAGAGCATTGAAACAACAACAAAGAAAAGTAAAAGAATAGATAAGACGGTTCAATTAATATTGAACAATAATTAACGATGTCACAAGGCGTATCTGTAGATGCATAAGGGTATGAATAATGACCGACCTTCCATTTTATCGGGAGCTCAAGATCTGTGGTTACGAAGTCACGTACGGTCCAACCATTGGTTAGGTATTATATACTAATAAATATAGACATCTGGCTTTCGTATATCATTACAATTTTTACAAATTGTTCCGAATATTTGACGATTTACAATCCGCAAATAAGCGGAACAATGATATATAGAACTGGAAAGTAATTGAATGTAAAGGAAAATAAAACTTACTACTGATCAGATCTCGATGTAATTTGGCATAGAAGTAGAGGGTAGTCTGGAAGCACACATAGGCTACTTAGTTTTTTTTATTATTACACGCGGACGAAGTCTCGGGCGACAGCTAGTATTATATATTACTAAATTAGAATTCACTTAATTCATGGAGAATATGAACATTACCAGCCAGTTGCACATAAACAACTGGCCAGTAAGAGACAGCGTTTATCTGTTTTCTTCTTTTTAAAATACTTCTCTAAAGATACTAAAGACAATCTTCAAGTAACATTTAACTTTATTTGCTTAAAATACTTTTTGTTCTAATCGGAAAAGAATTCAAATAGGTGACTTAAAAGCAATGAAGGTCTGACGATTATCCTAGTATGCAGGAGTGAGAAACAATTACGTTGTGTATCAAACAAGCTCAAGGGGACGGATGGCAACCGTATGCTGTGCGTGGTGCGTGCTACTGCGCCCGTGATTACACATCACAACGCCTGCAAGCATTTCTTACAGATTAATATAGAAGTGTAACACGGTACACTATAAGAGTGTTATTACATTTTTAATTACTCCTTAAAATAATGTATATGTTCATATACAGTAAAAGCATTATGGCTGTGGAAAATACGTAAGTATAGTTAGAGCGCGCACACCTTTGTCTAAACTATCGCACAACTGTTTAGTCGCGCTTTGATTACTATAAGGTTATATGGATGTCCACACACTACCCGATATATAGTTGTGCAACTTAACAATTGGCTAAACAATCGGCATTCTCACAGTTGTGCGATAATTTACTCAAAGGTCTACGCCCGCTCTTAATGCAAGTAGTTTAGTTGGTCATAACTTAACCTATAGTTTAAACTAATCAATTTGTGTAGTTGTAGTTACTATTAGGAAGTTTTCAAACTCTTTTGATATCGAATAATCAATCTTTCAAGTCGAATTTATTTAATACTTTAAAAATCTTTACATTGAGATATACGTATAATCGTGTACCGTGTAGTAATAGAATCGAAGTAGCAGCATCGAGCAGTCAGATTAATATGTCCCAGCAACCCCGAGTCTCGAGTAACCACCGGTTGTGCGACATTATAATGCGTCCGATAAACATCGAGTACAAGCACAGGACATCGGAATTGATCGATGCCAAATGACCACTTCGACACGCGTAAAGACCACTTACGCTTTGATATCTCGCTTGGAGTTTAGCTTTTGATTTGAGAACATGTATTCTAATATGTAGTTTAATTTGCTTCTAATCGATGAAATTATAAGTTGACCGGTAAATAAATAGAATATCGATTGATGTGATACACTTTTGGATGCAGGTCATGAAAAGCTTTGAACTTAGATATTTAAGACCGTAGAGGGAATGGTATTTTTAATCTGAGACGACAGCCGTTTAGCCGAACGATAAACAATTACAATTACAAAATTTATTAGAAAATGTGTTGTACAAAGTAAATGCATAATGAATGTTTCATTTTCTTTGTTAGTAAAATGACATTATTGATTATGGAAGTACTAAAATTTTGCATAAACATATTAAACTTTTCATAATACAATTGTTGAGTAATGAATATTCTTCTTTCGCCATCTATGATATGAATTTCGTATCATTGGTAAAATTACAAAACAAAAAGAAAACTCATTACAACGCCATCTATCGGAAAATCATTGCAACGCAACAAGTTTTTGATATCATTTATTAGAATTTCTACAAAGTACATTTGTTTTCGAAAGATGGCGTCACTACAAATTTAGATTATCTCCTAATTTAAATAAATTATGTTGTGTTTTCTTGCTAAAAAAATATGTGCATTCAAGTAAACTCGTATTTCATACCTGCATTTTCTGTTTATCTTTATAATGGGAATAAGCTTCAAATCTGTAATCGGAAAGGTTTTAACTATTTTTAATAATGCGTGTACTATTTGTTAAGTAAACATAAAACATGCTATGCTAATTTATAATTTCATGTTTTATAGTAAAGCGACTGTACGATTATGCCAGCTCGTTTCTTAAGATCTACTAGCAGCACTATGGGATTGACATGTCTTTCCCAAGACAAAAACCCCCCTTTACCTAACTAAGATAAAAAAAATGTTTTATAGTAAAAAGAAATTTTACTATTTAACATAGTGAAATGTCAGTACCAAAATCAAATAAACTTAACAACTATCTACTTGAATGTGTCAGCATAATTTAATAGGGAAAACAGTTGATTTGAAATTCCAATACTTCTCTCGTTATAACAATAGAAAATAAATGTCACTGTACATTCTCTATAAATACATTCCTACATTGTAAAACATTATTCAAATAATTTTATGCAATATTGCATGCACATAAAACTTAAAGTTGCAAGTCCTAGCACAAGTACAGTTTTTGCGGTTGTACAAAAGTTTCCGATCTGCGTACATTTTAAACCGTTACTTTGACCCAGTGCTGAGGTAAGATCGAATCATCTCTCAGTATCTGACGCATTACCGTGCAGTTTGAACGTCGCAATGTTCTTCGAAAGCTTTCTCCTGAACTTGGCTATTTTGGCAGCTCTGATAGTCGCATTAATATTCGACTATGTAACTAAGTTCTTTAGCTACTGGTACATCCGTCATATACCGTACAAACTACCGATTCCTTTCTTCGGAAGTGATTATCATCGGGTATTGAATCTAAGATCGACGTCTGATGAAGTAATGAACCTTTACACTAAGTATCCTGAGGCGAATTTTGTAGGAGTAATCAAGAGTCGAATACCTGAATTGATTGTGAAAGACCCGGATGTCATCAAGAAAATGTTGTCAACGGATTTCGCGAATTTCCATTGCAGAGGCATCGGTCTTGACAAATCTCGGGATGTTTGTTTAAGAAACAATCTATTCTACGCTGAAGGTGAAAAGTGGACCTTACTCCGTGAGGGATTGGAATCTTTATTGAACGGAATGCATCGTGAACCTGATGTCAGTTTACACGTCTGTTTATCAGGAACCAATGAAGTTGTGAATGTTCGAGAGCTGTTGTCAGAAATATTGGACGCCGTGTTTAAGGATTGTCTGTTTGAGGGAAAGGACGACGGTTTCCTATTAAATAACTTAAGACAGTCTATACAGCATCGCACCTTTCCGGAGAAACTCAAGAGTTATTTGAAAGAAATATTTCCTTCGGTGTATACTTTATTAGGATTGACCACCATTTCAGGGTTTCCAAGTGCGAAAGCCAATAAAGTCTTGAAAGAATCAAACATAGTGTTGCAGATTCAAAAAATAGGCCTTGTAGATAAAATGAACACGAAAAACAAGAAGGGTACTAAATTAGAAAATGTGACTGAATTGGAATTGGCATTTTCAATGGTTAGTCTTTTCGTAACTGAAGGATACATACCATGTCTAAATGTTATTACTTCCTTGTTGTTTGAATTAGCAAAGAACTCGGAAATCCAAGAAAAAATCAGAGTAAACAATTCTGTTAATGTTGATTATTTAGATGCGTGTATTAAAGAAGTTTTACGTTTGTACTCTCCATATTCTGTTATAACCAGAAAGTGTGTCAAAGCATATGAAATGCCAGAGAGTAAAATGATCTTGGATAAGAAAATCACTGTAACGGTTCCCGTCGAAGAAATCCATAAAGACTTGAAGCACTATAAGAGCCCTTGTGCTTTTAACCCGGACCGGTTCTTGGAAAGTGAAAATGAAATGAGGCATACGTTCGCGTACTTACCTTTTGGTGCTGGACCTCGCAAATGTATCGGTAAGTTGCATACTATGTGTTTTTATTTTCAAATACGAACCTATAAAAATATACATAAATTCTGAATTTCAAGTGGGAATAATTTTAATCATATAAATATTATAAATGCGAAAGTTACGATGGATGGATGGATGGATGTTTGTTAGCGTTTGTAGCCTAAACGGTTGAATGGATCTCCGTGAAATTTGGGACAGGTTTAGAGCATAGCCTGGAAAAACACATAAGCTACTTACTTTTGTTTTAATTCAACGCGGACGGAGTCGCGGGCGAAAGCAAGTGATTGAATAAAATCTTACAACAGTTACATTCAAGTGTACCGTAACCGCTTAACCAAATATATTGTGTCAATAGAAACATAAATAGGAATGGTGTCAGTTTTAGCACCGTTGAAGCTAAAAAAAATGAACAAAGGCCAATATCAGTGTACAAAAAATAGTATATTAACATTCCCTAACAGTACACTGTTCTACAGATCTCAAATGTGCAAGAACAGAAGCAGTAAATGAAACAATATTTAGTAACATTGTTTCCTTATTTCATCACCACCTCACTTATACGTCCCCACCGAGGGGCTCGGAGCCTACCCTAATAAGGGGTGACTAGGCCATAGTCAACCACGCTGGCCCAGTGCGGGTTTGTTGACTTCACATATATCTTTAAATTTCTTCGCCGATATGTGCAGGTTGCATCGCGATGTTTTCCTTCACCGTAACAACGTCGGGTAAATTATGTACATATAGAAATTCGAAAAATCGAAGATCACATTGGTACATGGCGGGATTCGAACCCAACACCTGTAGATTACCAGTCAAGTGTTTAAACCACTGAGCCACCGACGCTCTGACGCTCTGTTTCTTTATTTACAGGTGAACAATTCGCTATGCAGACAATACGAAAAGTAGCTAGAGCTATACTTGAAAAATACATAATAGAGACAACAGAAAAAACACCTTCACAGCTGTCGTTCGTAGATCATAACTTTATGAAAATCATTAAAGACGATATTTGGCTTAAATTCACACCTTTAGAACATTAGTTTGTGTTATTTTATGAATGTATTACTTACTATGATAAACGTGTTGCTATACTACGAACTAGCTATTGCTCGAGACTTGGTCTGCAAGAAATAAAAATATATAGCCTATATTACTCATAGATAAATTGTCTTTCTAACGGTGAATTTTTAAATTCCGCCGAATAGTTTTAGAGTTATTTCAATACGTACAAAAATACAAATATTTCCTCTTTATAATATTAAGTATATGTAACATTCCCGGTATCGGTTCTGGTGTTGGTAGAAGCTTTGAAGTAAAGATCGACATCATTCATAATGTTTGTGGAAGGATTTTATAGATCTGACGCAGGTTTATTATTAATTTTAAAATCAGTTTTTTTTGTCATATAACATAAGGATGAAATATAATTTATTTTAAGGTAATGGCGTATGAATAAGTGTTAGTGTTTAAACATTTAATATTTTTTTTAAAAAACGAATTTGCTCAATTTTAATATCAAGGCTATGTCTAATTTTTTTTTAATAAATGTATTTAAATAAAGATGTGTTAAGATTATTTAATAATTATAACTTAATTTTTACCAGTAAGTTAATGTTTAGAGTATGTTTAAACGAATTATTTAATAAAAACATTTGAACAACATTAAAAATAAAAATATTCAGTATAACGAAATTTCTGGAATGAAAATGTCAATAGTCAATAGGGATTATACGACAGTATATTTTTTGCACATTTCTTAATCGAGTACAAGTATTTTTTTTTCCATTTATTAAATGCAACAATGATAATAATCGGTCATCAAAATAAATTAACACTTGCTAGGTCGCAATTGCAATATCGTTATCATATCGGAGCAAATAGACTATCAACAATTCTAAGAATAAATTCCCTTCAAAGTCTAGATAAGAAAGCAATGATAAGTATCGTATCCAACTGAATTAGTAAATCAGTTGGATACGACTGGATAAATCATGTAAATTATGAATTTTACTAACATTATTAACGCAAAAGCTTAGATAGATAGAAGGACCTTTGTCACTACGTATTTTAAGAACGGTTTGACGGATTGTGTTGAAATTTAGCACAAATGTAAAACAGTCTGTAAAAAGACATAGGCCACTAATTGAGTTTTTTTTTTAATTCCCTTTAGATAGATATGTGGCCGAAAGCTAATATGACATGAAAATAACTATTTATCTCCTATGGCCTTTGTAATAACGACTTTCAGTAAATAATCTACCTAGATATTACTTTCATACAAAAGTTTCTCTTACAAATATATTATGGACAGGGGAAACAAAATACAGGGGTGGAAAGAATGGATAACGACAAACGGGGGTTTCTAAGCGAGGAAATTTTCCGAGGTATCTTTAGTGTATGGATAATCGAATCTAACAGACGGTACGATATCGACCAAGTCATTCCAAGTATGGCCGCGCAGTAATTTGTTTATCCACTCCCCTATTCCGTGTCGCAATCTCAAAACGCAAAAGGGAACAAGGGACCGATTATAAGAGGGTGAACAACAAGAAAAACTTAATATTTTAACGATTTTCTCGAAAAATTTAGAGAGTCGCCTAACGCTCTAATAATTTTAAGAAGTTAAATATATATATTAATAATAATAATAATATATTATAGGCGAATAATTTTCTCTGTGATAAAAGAAAGAAGATGTTTAATCCAACACTCTTTTTATTCTACGATTTTCTTGTTATCTTAGATTCGACGACAGTTTTGGTAAATGTGCGTTTTATTCGAATAGCATTCGGAGTTTCCTGAGATATTTCACTAGTCGAAAATGTCCGTAGATAATAAATAGAGAATATAATTCATGTCGACACCACACACTATTTTTGCATTGGTCAGACGTTTTCTTGATAATGTCCAAAATTTTCACAAAGACATGTTTTTCTAGTTGTTTGCGAATTTACGTTTGCTTTAATACTTTTATATGATAAAATGACTGCCTGAATTCGCCAAAAAAGCGAAGCAAACGCTGCTTATAGACATTAGCAATTGCAGACGCATTGCCGTTAGTCGACGAAGAGTCGCATAAACAGGATATTTCCCCTTCTGTGTCTCCTCTATCGTCGAATCGTTGTTAACATCAACTACAAATTGTTTTTAAATTCACTATGCACGCAAAACTATAAGCGCTTACTTATCAAGAGACAGACGAATGTTATCGTACCAAAAGATAAGCTATGAGTCCGGATATAAGGGTGGACGGGAATTTGAATTTTTATACGAGGTAATACCAATTCCAATACTTGTGAAGAATCATAAAAATATACTCTGTCTCCAAACAGTACTCTACGAAAATTATGCTTTCATTACAGTAAATAATTCACACCGACGCTTGCGCCTAATAAAAGTTTCAAGTCGGCGAAGTGGCGTTGTAAGGAGCGACGCCTAATCAAATATTTTTATGATCGACATCGTTTTACGGGCATCCTGCTACTCGAGAGGTGAGTATGGATTTGGTACATGTCAAAAGAGAAGGACATAGGTATGATCACTTAAAAAAAAACTTGGTAGAGCCAATTGGTTGTTGCATAGGAGTTATCGCTGTTGCATAGCTGCTTTTGAGCCACTAAGCTATGTACCAACATAAAAATCACCTCTATAATTCGTTAAATTAGAATTAAAGAAATAGAATTGATTATCGGCTAATTAATAATTTGCTTTGGATATAATAGTTGCGAATTGCTAGTTGTAGCCAAAGTTGCAGTAGTTCCCACAGTTGGAGGTAAACAAACGGCGACAAATAATTATTTAAGTATAATTCCTTATCACTTGTCACTTGTACCACACATTTGTAGCAGAGTTTGTTCACTTCGTTTATTCATTTATTTGTATAATTTATTAAAGAATATGAAGTAGACATGTTCCTTTTTGATTAAATGACAAAGAAAGAGTTTGATAACTTTATTTTGAGGGTCTTTGTCTTTTGGGGCACATTTTTTAAATTGTTGTGGAGTTTCCTTTTGTAGATATATTTATAGAGTTGTGTAAATGAACGGAAAGACAAGAACGAATGATTATTTTATAATGAAAGGAGTTCATTAATTAGTACATTATTCTAGATTGTGCAAATGATAAACTACACTAATATTATAAATGGAAAACTTAAAACATTTTTAAATAGTAACAACTATTCTCTAATCTCAAAAACTACTTGCGAAGTTGCGGCGAGACTCTAGTAGTAGTGATACGTTCCGGAGGCCTAATTTCAAATCTCTTCCTCTTTCTATCATCATCATAAAAAGGACGGGAAGGGGCTATGGTTTTTCACGGCGATAGGAAGCATAATTAAGGGTAATATCCTCTTTCAGTGCTTTCCTTCCTGTCAATTAAAGATAGAAAACGCATCTTTAAATGAAGATATCTATTGTCCAATACTGGTGGCCGCTTCTTTCTATACCTTATACTATAAAATAAAAATAGAAAAGTGAAATATGAAAAAATAAATACTGTGACACATCGTGTTGATAAAGATGTGTACACAATAGGATGAGGCTCATCGCATGTGTGAACAGCGGACGATCCGACGGTTATCGCTGACGTCACGTATCAACGCCACCTACAATATCAATTGTATTTTTTCACGTTATATTTTTATTCTTCATATTCCTATTTTTGTATCACACTTCTACAGATAACATATTTCAAGATATGTTTTGGTAAACTAATAAGAGATTATTTGATTCGTGTTTTGAAGTTTGCGTCCATTGCCGATTTTTTAAAGATAGCATATTCTTATACTTCACAGTTCATTCAACCGTTGGCTGTAAACTTCGCTAGTTTTCAAAATATATTTTCGCTGTGTTGTAATTTTCATTTTATCGCATGAAAACAAAGTACTTATGTATCAGGATGGGGCAGTCTCATGTGCATAAAACATTATCCCACTCGGCTCCCTTACTAAAGTGTCTGGCTGACTCATAAATTTTGGGACGCGGCGCCATCTAAGTTTGTTACTCAAGTTATCCGGAAAGCATTAGAAGGGGATAGAACCTTCAGTTTAAAAATAAACAATTTGGTATTTACAACAAGTATCGTAAGTGTTATTATATCTTAAAAATGCATTTTTATCTATTTTAATAAATTAATTCTAGAAGTCAAATCCCACTAAAATTATAAATGCGAAAGTTAAGATTTTAGTAAGAGTTTGTAGCCTAAACGGCTAAACAGATCTCGAAAAAATTTAAAAAGATGTAGAGGATATTCTGGAAGAGCACATAGGCTACTTACTTTTTTAATTTCACACGGACGAATTCACGAGCAAAAGCTAGTAAAGTAAACTCATAGTTATATTTCTTAGATTGTAACCAAACAGTTTAATTTTTTTTAAGAAGTTTATTTGTGTAAAAGTTTATAACTTCAATTGTGTGGTATGAATTACACAGACGCTCATAAACTTAACGGTGTAATTTAAGCCACGTGAAGAAAGAAGGAGTCTCTAGGAACGTACTCAACTCAAGGGTTAGGAGTATTTTAAAGATGATGACTACGTCCAAGTTACCAAAGGAAGCGGTAAATTTGTATAAAACAAAAACATTGAGACGAATTGAGTACCTCCTTCTTTTGGGAAGTCGGTCAAAAATGATTTGAAATGTTTATTTGTCGTTTGTTTAATCTGTGGTTATTGATATTACAACGCAGAAATTAGAAATTACAAAAAGAGGAGTATTTTAGCTAAATAACAAGAGTTTATGAATTACACCAGATCTAATCCGAGGTCTCATTCGTTGAGGAACGCTCACGTAGTAACGCCGAGAGCTCGCGTGGCATATCCGTTTGACGAGGACACTTACTTTGCCTCATTTGAACGTCATTTTAATATCTATCCAGTATATCATTTGATCTCCACCACTTCTTACTCATTTGTCAAAGAGAAATTTCGTTTGATTTATTACTTAAGATTCTCATTATGTTGGTAGTATGTTTTATGCTTAAAAGCGTGCGTATACCTAAAACAAAATAATTGGACAACTGTTTAATTTTTTTTTTCTTATAAGCCTATAAGGAGGTGCGCACACTACTCGATTTTTAAATATGCAACTAAACAGTTGAATTAGCTGCAAAACAATTGACAATCGCACAACAGTTATGCGATAGTTTAGTCAAAGATGTGCGCCCGCTGCAAGAACTGAAACAGAATGTTTGTAATATTAGAATATTTATTAGAATTAGAAATAGAATATCGATTAGAATCGAGAAAGGAATCACTCGTGTGTTTTAATTTGGATTTATATTTTAAAGTTGTCTAAGTGATAAATTTCGTTAAAATACGTTTTCAGAATATTCTCTTTAACAAACAATGCGACAATAATTACTAAAAGGCCTTTACTAATTTACTCTAGTTCGTGTAAAATCGTGAAATAATTGCTTCAGTGCTAATAAACATTAGGCGTGCGAGTCTCTGCGGAAGCGATAAAGGTAACTGTCCGGAACAGCACTATCGTTAACTAGTTCCCTGATATTTGTTCGTATTGGTGTTTCTACTCCGCTAGTGTTAGTTCAAACGACCCTTGCGTCATTCCTTCTGTTGCGGTCATCGTATTTAACCTATTTCATTCTAAATTAAATTTGTCTTAATTTTTTTTTCGTGATTAAGCACTAAGTTATCTTACTAATATTATAAATGCAAAAGTTTAGATGGTTAGCCAAAGGTCATAATAATAGAAATACGTTTCTTTAAAAATAAACTAAATATTTTTAATATGAGCAATTTTCAGCATTTCACTTCGATGTCTACATTTGGTTTGAATTCATTGTCATTAATGCGTAAACGTGTATCGTCGAAGATAGCTGTATTGTACTTGCTACGGGACTCAGTTCCGTAGCTTAGGGATTCCGAATACAAATTGGTTTAGTTATAAAACTGTAAGTTGTATGCACATTTTGTAGTCTCCGACGTACTCTTTAGAGCAGTTTTTGCGTCTTCCTCCATTGACTTCCGATCCTAGGAGGATTGTATTGAGATTAACCAATTTTCTAAGAATTGTCAGCGGTAGCGTGGTTCTAGGGATGTAACTAAAATAATGTAAATTTTTATCTAGTTGACTATTGAGTGAAGTTGCGTTATCAGAACCGGAATGATAATGATAATATGGCGCGGGAAACCCCTATTAACATAAATAGGAGACTCGATTTTCGAATTTTTTTCTTTTTAATAAAATATGTTTTTAATTACATCATTATGTTTTATTATTAAAAAGTTATACGAGGATTATAATGGATTATTTATTATCATAAAAAGTAATTATAGAAGAAGTAAAAAATGAACAAGGGTTTAGAGCTAGGCTATTTATCAAAGGATCTAAAAGCGTCGCAAATTAGGTGCTTAGAGTTAATTTACCATGACACTGACATTTAGGGTGGTTGGGCAGCTCGGTTGCAAAGTTTAATACTGTGAAATTTAACAAAAAAAATACGCGCATCATGTCAGCCTTTGGAATACTTAAAGAATTATCTTTAAGATTATTGCCAGTAATCTTATTTATTACTTTATGTTATTACCGTTATCTGGCTTTGAATTTACATTCTTAAATTAATTGCCAGCACTGTACTTTTGTACATAAAGAAAGATTTCTTTTGGTAAGTGTGATATATAATAATAGGCAGCTTTTGATGTTTTGCAAAAAAAGACAGTTTTTTTACAAAATATTTTATTAAACGTCCTTATAAATTAATATAAAGAAAAACATAACAAAACCCGTAAAGAAATCAACAATAGCATATAAAATTACGTTTCTCCTATGTCTCGATCAATAGACTGAATAAAGGTCGCCACCAATGCGACCGTGAAATGAACAGACGATAGAAAACAGTATAAAAAGAGATCGTAGAAACTTTAGTTGTACAATAAAGTTGTAGTTTTCGTAAGTCACAGTGAAAGTAGAAAGTCATAATACCGAAGACCATTGATATCGAAGGCATAGGCATCGCGAGCTTCTAACTAAAATATAATATTCAATGAACTATCACAGAGTATATTGGCATGTATTAGTGCTTTCCATGGTGGAAGCCCCAGTCTTTGTGGTCATGGTGGCCACCCTTCTTGCCATGATCATGATGATGATGATGATGTTCTTCATGACCGTGGTGTCCCTTGTGTCCATGGTGGTCCTCGTCGTAATGATGCTTGTCGTGATGACCGTGCTTACCATGATGATGCTCATGATGACCCTTTTCGTGGTGTCCACCCTTCTTGTGGTCTCCTCCGTGATGCTCATGGTGTCCGTGATGATGTCCGTGCTTGTGGTGCTTGCCCTCGTTATGATGGTCATCGTAGAAGTGATGGTCCTTGTGGAAGTGATCTTTGTGGTATTTCTTGTGGTAGCCATCGGTTTTTTCTCCCTTATCATGATGCTTGTGGTGACCGTGTTTACCTCCTTTGTGGTGGTGACCGTGCTCGTGATGGTGGCCATGATGGTCGTGCTCATCCCAATGTTTCTTGTGGCCACCGCCATGTTCGTGATGGTGTCCTTCGTGGTGGTGCTTTCCGTGATCGCCGTGTTCGCCCTTGTGATGGTGGTGGTGTCCCTTGTGACCCTTGTGGCCCTTGCTACCGTGTTCGTGGTGATGATGGGCATGGTGCTCTTTGCCACCACCCTCTTCGTGATGGCTCGCCTTGCCGCTTGCTGCGGCCACGAGGTCCTTCTCCTCCTCGCCGAGTTCTCTGGCGTACACTGCCACAAGGCAGAGGAGCCCGATGGCTACAACGCACTTCATTTTGATTGCTGTTGTTCTGTGTTGCTTGGAGTACTTCAAGTGTCTTTTATAGTTGATCAGTTTCAGATGAGGAAAGTATGCCGCAAGCGACGAGCGCAATACTTCAGGGACGCTGACGGTTGCCCAGGCGCTGGACCGTTACGCGACATTTCGAATTGACTGTTTGTTGATAATGATTAAAAAGAATCTTACAACATCGACATGGAACTAATAGAAAATGTAAAAATGACGTACGTAACTCAATTAAAATGAGTCCACGATTTCGAGCTACTTAGATACCTAATATTTTTAAAAACAGACGGTACAAAGTCTGTCTATGATGCCGTATTCCACAGTAATACGATAATATTCACCAAATTTTGGACATTTGATTTAGAAACATGTTTAATTATCGTTTTATATTTCTCTGTGACCTCCCATACAGGCAGATGCATTTATTATTCTCAAAGCTCGACGAAGACAAAGCAAAAAACAAGAGCGTGTCTGACAGGACACTGCGCGTTAAATTGGAATTTGATTACCCTCTCTGTACCTTGTTAGTAGACAGCGTTTTGATAAAGAGTGAATGAAATTCTTTAAAGTTGTCGATTCATTTCCTTTGGTAGCAATGAAACATATTAATCAATTAAAATAATGTGTAACGTTTTATGATTTATGGCGAACTATGGTTAGATAAAATATCTTTTAAGGCATTTTAATGGTTTAATCTTTTTACCATTTTTCACAAAAAGTTGCGAAATCCCGAAATTAATGTTATTTGTTAATTTTTTTTGACCAAAGTACACGTCATGCTTAAACCATAGGCCTTATGCAAGATCAATTCTTTAGTCTAGCTAAGTTTACAGTTGTTTGACTCTGATTGTCGATGGTTCAAACAATATGAAATTGAAATATGAAAACAATTTTGCTCAACTAAAAGGTGTGTAGAACTAAGTTCTAAAGCCGAAATATCAATTAGATTCATATCACAGAATGAGATGGCAATACAATTCAAGTCAAGAATAAGTATGCCCGCCAGGAATTGTGCGGGCAATCCCTATTGTTGTTTTGATTAAATTTGTAGATTGTTCTTTTTATTCAGCATCCGCTGAAAATGAAATGGACGGAAAAAATATTTTTAAACACCGAACGCTGCCTGCGTTCTTGTGATACGAATATTTTGATGGACTGGGTTTTTGTTCTGTGTGAATTTATTTAAATTCAAATGTGTATGAAAAAATTGTTTACCGCCAAGAATTAAATTGAAAGATTAAATGTTCCTTAATATGTAGTTTTTTTTTAAATTTTCACTACATGAAATAATGTAATATATAACATTAACAATGTAATAGAAATGTAACATAAAAGAGTAATTAAGAGATTATTATATTGATACTTTCATTATCGGAACTCAGTATGAGTGCTGATATTAGATTCTTATAAGATCTGCTTCAAGTAATTGTTACCAGCTCCTCAAGTATGGTAGATTAGGTTATTTCTTGATTATTAATCTCTATGCGTCACTATAAACTAATACTAGGTATCTATGACAAAAGAGAGAGCTGTTCTATGTATCATAAGGGAAATATAATTAAAAAAGATAACACTTGTTCCAAAATTATTTATTGTTGATTCAAACAATTTATCCAATTAGTAGATTTCTATTTTTGATGAAACATTATGATTATTTAAAGTTTCGTGACACATTATCATAACTAGTTATTTTACGGTTATTACTCACATCTATTTTTCCGGTGGCGGCACCGACTAGTTTTGGACCCATCTGGGGTCCATCTTCAGGGCGAGTGTTACTGGGGTTGTTTCGCGGTCCCGTCGCGTCTCGCACGCAGTAATGGGCGTAAAACAATTAGTTAAAATATTACAAATAACAGATACAGGAAACTAAGACAATATCACATTTTATAAGTGAACCGGTTATAGAAATGGTCTGATATTTTAAAACGACCTTTTTTAATTTACTTAAAATTAAATTTAAGCTGTACTAAATACTTAATGTTAACTTGGGCCACGTCATAAACAATATATTCATTATAAAAGAGGTTAGTCTGTGCACCACTGTTAATTGGCGTCCCTAATGGCACTAGAACATTTTGTAATATAACATCCTCTGTTGGGTTCGGTTGAATGAGACCAACTCCCCATACTGAATGAATATCTTCAGGCAATGTAACATTCTGTGCTTTATAACATTTTTTTGAATTACCAAGTGCTACTTCACACAAAAGAGCAAAGCCAATAGAATTGTTTTTATTTACAAAACAATAATGAGCAGATTTAGAAATCATATCGGCAAAATAAATTCCTTTACCAAACAAATAACCTGTTGCAGGTGCTTCTGGTGGAGCTATACGAAGTCCCTGTGATAGAATCCCTGCAATGTTTGTGGTTCTAGATCCATGCCAAAGCAAACGCTTGTTATGAAGTTCTTTATATTTGTTGTAGCGGTCTTCTTCTCCAGCGCGCGAAACTTGGTAAAGGCAATCAATCTCGATTGTATAACCAAGCGAATATTGCGTATTCTCCAAATAACTCTTTACAAGATTATAATCCATTGAACTATTGTCTAATGGTGTTATAACTGCATTCAGTGAGAGGTAAAGTGATTCAATTGGACTCACAATATCATCAGACGCAGATTTTATCAAATCATAAACTATTTCAACTTCTAGTAGACTATCTAACATTTCTAATTTGTTTTTTATTACATCTACATTATCTAGTAACGGAGGTTTTTTCAGTCCAAAGTTATGAGGTACTATCGTATATAATTTATTTGTAGAATCTTTGATTTTCTCCATACTAATCGTTCCTTTATCAAAGTCTTCTAGGAGACTTGAGAGTATGCCATAGCCAAATTTGATTTGTTCTTTAGTAATTTTTCCTAGAGGCATTTTATCAACATCTAAGTCATATTGTAAAAGACAGTTGTCTATAACTTTCTTATCAAATATTTTAACAATCATCTCCTGAATAGACATTGGCAAATTACAATCACTTTCAATATTTATCTTTGACATTGAAATATCAAAGTAGTTGATATCAACAGGCACATAGGCTCTCGGAATTTTAATGAAGTGATGTCCCGAAAGTTCTCGATGTTTAGTTTTTTGCATGTAGATTGTCTCAAAATGGTTCTTCGCTTCCCAGAATTCAGTGAAATTTTCAAGTTTCTTGCCACCTATCGACGTACCTATTCTTCCCCAAGAACGGAATACCCAATATTTCTCCTGACTATCAGCTTCTAACAATTGAAGTTTATAAAAAGAATTTTTATTATCGTCCACACTTGTTTTACTCAAAACAACAGAGTAGTCATTGATTTGTTCTTTATAAACGTGGGCGACATTTTCTAAGCCGGAGTCCGGATCCACAACCATACCATATTTAATTGTTAACTTTGTTTTTTTCGCTTCATCCTTAGTATTTTGTGAGATTTGCTGGAATAGATTTGAATCACGGTTTACAATAGTTCTTAAAGTGGATTTACAAAAATGACGTCGCAAACCTGGACATCGATAATCTTTAAAAACCGGAATATGTTCTAAAGCATACGGTATTTTCATAGTGGTTTTCTTAGGTGTTTCAGTCTTGTAAGTACATTGTGTCCAAGCGCTCGTATCACCAATACACTTGTAATAAAAAGTATCTAACACAATTTTTCCTTGTTTACATTCTGGACATGTTTCGGGAACACCGCAAGTCATACAATCGGCAAGTATATCTAAACTTTCTTCTCGACTTTTGGGAATTAATAAAAGATTTGTATCGATTAGTTTCTTGAGCTCATTGTCATTCAAAACGCTTAGAGATTTACGATAGTGATCAAATAATCGTGATTCTCCTTCAATCATGTCTAAATATTTATCGGAATTTTCTTCATCATGTGCACTTACTTCAAGATAGTTTGATAAATTTTCAATTTCTTTATTAATCAAAACTTGGTCATTTTCGTTAATCGTTGAAAAGCCCGACATTTCATCAATATTTCTGAAATATAAATGATCTTCTCTTTTCATAATAAAACACTGAACGTGAAACCACATAAGACTGTCTCCAAATCTTGGATCATAATGTGATTTAGAAATTCTTATTTCATCTTTGTAGATTTTTTGATCACAATGACGACACTTGGAACTACTAGTTTTGGAATATTCAATGGAAAATGATAGTAATGGTGTTTCATTTATGTTTTGTTGTCTGTTGTTGTCAATCTGTCCTTTTTCTTGATTGTTTAGTGTTGTAGATATCATAGATTTAATTTTTGCATTAAGCCGTTTCATATCATCGTATTTTAGTACGTTGAACCTTTCAAAATCAAAAATACTCTTTGGTAATACTTTCTTGAAGAAACACTCCTCATGATGCCAATGTATTTGACAACCGTCATAAAATTTAGATTGTAATAACATTCCAAAACGTAATATACCTTTATCAATCTTTTCTTTGCACACTTTACAGTTGGCGTTTCCCGTTTTTGCATATTCCACTTTGTACGGTAAATTTGCCATTCTTGAACTGCTTTCACTTTTTGAAGATAAGTAACTTAAGTGATAATTGTTTTAAATAAAATTAATAATGCTATAAATAAGGTGAACAATGCTGTTACTTTCTATAGTCAACTGCAATTGATTTTGATAAAAATATTATAGATAAACACAATCGATAAGTCTTTGTCGCTAAAGTCTAGATAATTGTAAGTGTACGATACGGTATGATAAAGCTGTGTGAAAATGATGTTACCTACTGATTCAATTTCCATAGGTTTGTAAAATGTTAAATACTTAAATCATGTAAAATTTAATTAAAAAACAGTCTTTTTTGTTCTATTTTCAGATTTTTGTAGATATCGATGGATGCAATTAAATTCTGATTGGCCTCTTTTAGTTAATTAAGGGAAATAAATTTGTATAATAAATAAATTTGTACATTTCATCTAACATTGATGTTAGAATCACAATAGGAAGAAAATGTAAATAAAATTAGGTTATATTCAGGACAATATATTTATTTAAAAAATGTATATAATTTGATCAGTTTGGTAACATACAAAAATTGTAACACACATTTATTTGAAGTGAAATTTTAATTGTGCCAAATATTTCACATTTACTTGGTTTACGTCATAAACAATAAACTCATTATAAAGTAGCGAGCTCGAAACCTTTGTTGTAACATGTGTACCAAGAGGTACTATAACACCGTCGTTTAACACTCTATTTTGTGATGGATCCGGTTGCGTTCGACCAACTCCCCATACTGAATGTGTACCGTCGGCAAGTTTTTTAATATTTTGTGCTGCGTAGCATTTCTTCATTTCACCTAAAGCTACTTCGCACAATAAAACAAATCCTGTTGTATTCGACTTATTCGCAAAACAATAGTTAGCAGATTTTGAGGACATGTCTGCAAAATATATTCCTTTGCCAAACATATATCCCGTCATAGGCGCTTCCGGAGGTGCTATACGCAAACCCTGTGAAAGAATTCCTACTAGATTTGTTATTCTTGATCCATGCCAAAGTAAACGTTTATTATGTAACTGTTTGAATTTGTCATAGCGTTCTGCTTCGCCTTCTCGCTTAACTTCAAAAAGTTCCTCAATCTGAAGTGTGTAATTTGAATGCGTTGGAGCATGTGTATTTTTCAAGTAAGTAGAAACAAGTTCAAATTCAGGTGTCGTTTTATCCAAAGGTCTGATGTCAGTTTTTAATTTAAGATAATGAGATTCTATAGGACTGAGAGAACCATTAGAAGGTGATTGCAATAATTTATATGCTATTTCAATATCTAGCAGACTGTCTAATAATTCAATTTTTTGTTTGACGTATTCTGCCGAATCCAGAAGTTTAATACCTTCAGTTCCGAAGGTATGCGGTATTAAAGTATAAAATCTGTTTGAAGCGTCCGTAATTTTTTTTTCATCAACAAGATTATTATCAAATAAGTGAAGTAAATCTGATAGTACACCGTATCCTAATTTGATCTGTGATTTTGACAACTTTCCAAGAGGCATTATATCAAGGTCGAGTTTAAATTCTAGAAGAGTTTTGTTCATGATTTCAGTATCAAATATTTTCATTATTAAATGTTGAACTGATTTGGGCAAATTAACTTGAGAGTCAAATTGTATTGTCGATTGCTTAATATCCCCATAGCTTATATCTACTGGAACGTATGATCTGGCCTTTTTACTGAATTCTTCTGAAATCCAGTCATCACCCGTTTTTTCAGTATAAATCTTTAGGAAATGAACTTTGGCAGCATCAATTGATGTAAAGGGATCACTCTGCTGACCACCTATTGTTGTTCCTATTCTTCCCCAAGAACGATAAACCCAATACTTGTCTTCGTCATCAGATTTTAATAATTGTAGCTTATAATATGAATTTTTATTGTTTTCTACACTGAATTTACTTAAAACTTCTGAATAAGCTTTTTCACCATCCTTGTAAACATGTGCAATATTGTGAAGACCTGATTTTATGTCAATTGGATGGCCATCTTTAATCACCGATTTTACCTCTATATGTTTTGATGAACTTTGATACATGTTTCCTGATTTAGGTTCAACTTTACCATCCAAAACATTTTTGGGTATTCTTTTGAAGAGATCCGATCCCCAACTAGCTATATTTTGTTCCTCAATAAGTCTTAGAGAATCTAAAACTGTTCCATTTTCAGTATTAATAAGGTCAAAGTAAGTTTCATCGATTACTTCTATATCTTTATTTTGAATTGCTTGTATCATAGTAGAATTTTTATCTAATTCTTCTTTTGTAGTAACTACAGCAGCAGTTGTATCTGTAAGTTTGCTTACGACAAGACCACCTAATTTCAAAATATTACGCTTGAGATCTTCCTTAGGAGTTTTAAGTTTACCGTACAAAAAGAATTGAATATTCTTTAATGGATAAGATATTCCTCTGTAAGGATTAGCAGAATCCGGTAAGTCAACATCAGTGGCTTGTGATGGTTTAATCGAAAATATACGTTGAATAATATTACTTTTGTAATTTTTAAATATATCATGATTTCTTAAGGATTCGGGTACCTTGAAAAGGTCTTTATCAGGTTCTTTAGTGGTATAATGGCATTGTGTCCATGGAGTTACATCTCCAGTACACCTATAATTAAAATCATCGAGTATTATTTGACCTATTTTACATTCGGGGCATTTCTGTGGTACTCCAAAAGCCATGCAATCTGCCAAATTATCTATGCATACTTCCCGACTTGAAGGCAAATCAAGATCGTTTTCTTTTAATAATGCTTGTATTTCATTTTTTGTTAAATCTTTCAAATCGTTTCTGTATGCATCAAATGCTTTACTCTGTACTGTCAATTTATCTTGTAATTCTTCATTAACCACAGTGTCGTCACCATTGTTGGAATGTGTTTTTATTTTTTTAACAATAAAGTCGTCATCTACAATTGAAATTTTTTCCATTATCATTGCTTGATCATCTGATCTAAGATTTTCAAAACCTGGTATGTCTTTACCCGTAGCGAAAAACATAAGGTCTTCCCGTGTGTCAACAAAACACTTGAGATGATACCACATAAGGCAATCACCATATCTAGGGTCATACTTAGATTTCGATATTCTTATTTCGTTTTTGATTATTTTTATGTCACAGTACCTACACGTTGCACTACTGGTTTTTGAGTATTCTATGGAAAATGTTGATAAGATACTTGTATTGCTAGAATCTAAACTTCTTTTAGAAACTTTATTATCATCAGAAAGTGGTAACGCTGCTTGAGATACATTCTTAACTTTCTTTTGTATTCTTTCTTGATCCTTGTGTAAAAGTAAATTGTACTTTCCTATTTCATTAACATTGTGAAGAAATATTTTCTTGAAAAAACATTCTTCGTGATGCCAATGAGATTGTATCTTGTCGCAAAATGCGGATTGTAAATTAATAGCAAAGCGCACTGACCCTTTATCAATTTTTCCTTTACATATTTTACAATCTGACTTATCACTTTTGGCATACTCCACCTCATACAACGAAGCTGACATTATATTGGTGACAAAAACAAACAATGATCACAGCACGTTCACTACGTTCGAAACTAAATCATAACTGCAGTCGATATCGTGTAAAAAAATTTATCAGTTTATGTAGATAACACAATATAAAATTATTGATAGTGGTATTCAGTACAGTATTTTCTTATTTTTATACTGGGTATGTCAACATAGTGCAATATTAGTTTCGTATAACTATTTTTACGAACGTGACAAACAGTTTACGATTCAAAATTTTGTATAAGAAATTAAATCTTGATCAATAACTATAGCAAATAAATATCACATTAAGAGAAACGGGCACAATAAATAATTTGATAGACACTTTTCAGATACAAGTGATTTGTAATGTTTTGATAGCCTTAAGTATTTGGATGAGGAACCCAAAAACTTAACTGATAAAATCTTTATCAATACTTATAAATCATACTATCTAATGTTATTGAAATTCTATTTTGTATTGAATATTTCTGCTTATTTCAAAGATATTAAAACTGAACGAGATAACCATAGACCCAAATTCACTTTGTACACAAATTTACCAAAATATTTACCAAACAATATCAATTAGCACAGAGTATCAAATAGTTGAACATTAAACGTACACTCGATCCAAAAGTTAATAGTTTCATAGACAAGTGTACTATAGAATTAATAGTAAAATAGTGAACAGCACTTCACAACTCCCGTGAGTTCCGCAACCTGGTATAAGCAAGTTTGTAAATTACTAATTAATAACGAATTCGGCTACAGAGAGTACTGAAGTCAGACTTTGTTGAAGAGATCATTTAATTTTACAACTATCAAAACCATATATAATTTGTAATACTGTGGATGCGTATTTTACATTTAATTTATCTTCCCATCTTCCCGTTAAGCACATGTCTTTGTGTTCCAGGTTAATCTATCTTCTGTCATTTCAGTCGTTACTTATTTCTTGATCATGTCACGTTACACGAACTCCATCTTTCTCTTTCTAGGCCTAGCTTTACCGAAGTACTAAAAGTAGTAATAGCTAACGCCCGCGACTTAGCCGCGCGAAATTAAAAGAAACAAAATTGACTAGCCTATGTGTTCTATGAGACTAGCCATTCCACCTATGCAAAATTTCATCGAGAGCCGTTCAGCAGTTTAGGCTACAAACGTTAACAAACAACCATCCATCTGAACTTTTGCATCTATAATATTATTAAGATTGAAAGTATATATTTCCGAGTAGTTAAAAAATATAAATTAAACAAAAGTCTTGACCGTGCGGTGAAACATAGATATCATGTAACAGTGGTCATATCCGGCGCTACAATGAATAATTATCTGAAAGTTGCGCGGACTGAGGTATTCCAATTTCACTCGAGGGCAGAACAGTGAGCCAGAGTAGTTTAGCCAGCATTATAAGCGTTAAAAATACTCCACAAAACCTTGTACAATTATTGTTTTTCTAATACGTAACACATTATATTAATATATTAATATCATTTAATTAACAGATGCAGACGATAGTAAACTTAGCAGGAAGCTTAATTAAAATTACGTTATTGGTTAACTTTAATAATGCGCCATCTGTTGGCGAAAGTTAATCGGATTTTAATTGCCTTGAATACTTAGCGAACAGAGGCTAATAAATATTTTATATTGTAAAATGAAGCAAGTAATTTTGAAAGCTAATTTCTTTTTTATGTTAAAGGGGAATAATGTTACGAAATTCGAAAAAGAGAAGACATCGGCAAGATCTGTAGAATTGCAAATGTAATATAATGCGTCTACAATTCTGCGGATTTAGTCTGGACTGGTCCGTTATTCCAATGTTATACGAGTATCATTCCTACAATCTGACATTATAAATGCAAAAGTTTGGATGTTTGTTAGAAAGTATCTCCAACACGGTTGGACGGACATCGACGAAATTTGCCACAGATGTAGAGAACATAGTTTGGATGAAAACATGGGTTACTTACAATTATTTTTTTAATTTCGTCGGACGAATTCACGGTAGAAGTTAGTACATAATAATGCAACTACGAGTCTATATTTTTTTATTATTGAATCTATCAGCGCTATTTCAAAGAATTACTTTTAGATATATTTGTATTTGTTTATATAAATGGGAAGATAAAATTGTACAGATACCAATATTTGCTAGTATAAGTCCACTTTGCAATATAATACTAAGGACTATAACTTAGTTGCACTAAGTATCCAACTTTCTTGATATACAGGAGGCTCTATTGTTCCACGGGCTGTCTAAAGCGGTTTAACTTTACTCTTCATTATAGTTTTAGTGTGCAGATGTGCTCTTCGTAGACATCCCTGTAACTTCACCGTCCATTTTACTACAGTAATGAAGGTACCACCTGCTAAGTTAAATTATTATAAAGAAAAATATTAAAAAAGTTCATTAATATTTTATACTATACACATACATGTTGAAGGATACGAAGGTAGAGCAAGGCTGGAGAAAGTATGGATTGTGTGAAAGAGAATATGCTTAAGGGAGTGAATTCACATATGACGGTTGATAGCATGGAAGAGCAGTACACACTGTGCCAACCCTCCATACACTGTACACTACACTGATACATGCAATATTCTTGTTCACGACAGTGAAATGTATGCAACTAACTATTTTAAGTCTACATTTAAAGAGGAAAGATGTATTTTAGTATGTAACGAATAAACAGGTAAACTACTGAGTCGATTTCTTGATGTCGAATGGTATAGGTGGTGCGGATTTCGAGTTAACAATACGAGTAGAGATGGAACTAATTTTAACAAAAGAACTGATAACTTTAACAGAAGAAAGCTATCATTTTTCTATGCATTGAAATGAATAAGTTCGATTCATTGATTGGAGGTGGATATCAAAAAGTCCCTCTTATTTCTTTCTATGTGTAAGTGTTCTTACCATCTATCACACTAGTATAAGAGTTTGAAGTGTACTTGTTTGTAGTTTCCCTAATACTTGCTTGTTTGAACTAAACAAGAGGTCGATTGTGTCATATACAATACTATAGGACTCCCGGAAATATATATCTTATTTGTATGCATTAATTAAATAAATTCAGATGACAAGTAGGAATAGGTAATTGTCCAGGGAACATACAAGATACTTGGATTAAATTTAAAGTCTATAGCAACAAAAATAAGGATTTTTTACCATGAGACAGTTTATTTTGGCCAATAGTAACGTCGCATCGTCTAAGTGCATTGTTTTTTTTTACATGGTGTAAAACTATTTATTTTTAAAAAAACAAATGGGTATCAGATGGTAATATCAATCCTTTATCCTCGATGTATATCAATATGTCGGACATAAGCAATCCGCTAAGTGCTGGAAGCGTTGCTTGATCAATATAGGGATTGGAAAAGTTTTGTCGTCTATTACTTGTATATATGGATTGAGAAATTATTTATGTTTTAGTATTTAACACTTTATATTATTGAAAACGATATTTATAAAAACTTTATACGAGTAATATAGAAAAAAATTAACCCCTATGTTATCATCGTCATCATGACCAACTCACTATGTGTTCCGTAATAGCCTAATAAGGGGTGATTAGACCATATTTAACCACGCTAGCACAGTGCGGGTTGGTTGACTTCACACATATCTTTGAAATTCTTCGCCGACATGTGCAATTTTCATCACGATGTTTTCCTTCATCTTAAGAACGCCGGGTAAATTATGTATGTACATATGAAATTCGAAAATCACATTGGTATATAGCGGGGATTCGAACCCAGAACCTATAGATTACAAGTCAAGTGCTTAAACCCCTGAGCCACCGGCGCTCTTATACATACAGCATTTTAATATTAAATGTCAAAATACCATTTGCATTTTGCATAACCTCTGGCTAGATTGAGAATGTCATTCTTTCTTTGTATACGCTGTCGTTTTTACTTTATTACCCAACCTTAACTTAATAAAATGTTCTTTTCTCGCACAAAGAGTTTGCCGTTTCATTTAATAATTACATTTACAGGGCAAAGCTTTAGTTTTTGTTCTATTTACGTGCTCCATTAAAACGGTTTTCTTGCGAAACTTAATTTATTATGAGGAGCGCATATTTTAACAGATTTACTCTTAAGACCCTTTTATCTTTTGTTTTTGTTATGCGATTTTTCTTATAGTTACACTAAAGTACTTTACAATAAAAACTTACTATTATTTTAATTCGAAAGTTTGTATGTCTGAATGGATGTTTGTAAGAAGATATCTCCTAAATTGCTAAACGGATCTCCATGAAACTTTGCATAGATGTAGAGCATAGTCTGGAAGAACAGATAAGCTAATTATTCTAAAAACTAAAAAGCAAAAGATCTCTAACAAACTACTCGAGTAACTTTATTTGTGTATGGAAGTTAGATAAATGTATCAAGAAAATTAATTTCACTGCTTCGCCTTTTCCATCAGTTTCTATTGGACTGGAAAATGAGCAAGGCATCGAGTATGTGTAATTTTCCTAAACATTTGACGC